TTCAGTGCATCTGCAAAGGGTGTTTTTTGAAACACAGGGACAAAAAACAAGGGATTACCCAGAGATCATTTGTCTTCATTTTCTTATCTTTCCTCCTGTGTTGTATTCCTTTGCGGTGACTTCTGGTTCTCGTTCTCAGCTTCCATCCATGATCAGCACACCATTCATAACCATTCAAAGCTCACTTCTCTCTCTTTACTGTTAAATGCATAAACTTATAAAGTTTGCCCATATTTCTATGAAGCATTCACTGGCTAGTACAGATCGTTACCTCTTGAAAATCAAAGATTCTAAATCAAGTTATAAATTCTAAGTGAAAAATACAATAAAAGGTGTACGTACAGAGAATTTCCTACAATATTTTTTTTTTGCATACTCAGATCCTCACATATGTTTAAGAAACCTATCGTCCCACCTAGTCATGAAAGAATCTGAAAGCTGCTATTATCTGAATTAGTCCAGTTAGGAAGGAGACAAAGCAAGGTGCTTACCTACTTTCATTCCAGTGAAAATTTAATTGAATTAGAGCAATTTCAGATCACATTCCGGGCAGCTGTGTTTATCACACTTTCTTCAAAGGATAGGAATTAGCGTTGACTGACACTAACATCAAAGCTCATTTATTCACCCACCCACATCCTGCCAGCCCTTCTGAGCTTGCCTGTTTATTTAGCACTTTAGTAATGCCACAGTAAATAAGATTTCATTTCAGAGTGCGTGTTTTTTTGTCAAAGCTCTTAGCATAGGCTTCTTATAACATCACATTAGAAGCCATTTTTGTAGGTTTGATGAAGGATCAGCTAGAAGTTTTCCTAAATAGATGTCTTAAATGGTTAGCAAAAGAACAGAGATGTAGACTGGAACCCAGAGTTTGTTTTTCTTTCTGTTTGTCAGCAACTACAAAATCTGGGGGGGATTCCATTAGTCCATCAGCAATGTGGGGGATGTCAGAATTGATCTGTCACCCTTTAAGCTGCTTAAGTCCAAGCCAGGTAGGTCATCATGCCTTTGGACACAAGGTCCTTGGGAAGCTGTGTGGCACCCAAGGCTCAGCTCTCTGTTGCACAGCTGTTGTGTCCTTTCCAGCTCAGCTGGATGCATTAGTGCCGCCCCTTCACTCACAGTGCATACATAACCTGTTATCATCTCTTGTGAGCTACAGGTAGCTTCCTGCTGGTAAATCATCTTTTATTTCGTGTTTGTGCATCATCTGTCAAAACAGGACTTGATTACCAATTAAAGCTGCTAGAGCACAGGAACAAGGTAGATGCATCACAGCTTTACTGCCTCTTTGGAGACATATAGAGAACTGCTGCCACATCAGACATGACACCTGACACATCAACAACAGTGATCCGCTGCCTGTGTTTCAACCTCAAGCCCCCAGGGTGACAAAAACAAGCAGTTAGACTAGGAGTCTATGTTTTATTCTCCAATCATCAGCAGTAGAGTTGCATATAGTCATGATTGCTCACAGATGGCTAAGAAAATGATGCCACTGGAAAGGATCCTTTCAATTGCTTTAATAAAGAAGTAATCAAACAACTCCATTTTTCAACAAGTGGAACTCAACTGAGCTGGTGTACCAGTTTCACAGCTGAGCAGCCTTACCCTAAAGATTCCCTCCAGGCCTTAGCCACTTGTTTCCTCTTTCTCACTCTTACATGCAGCTTGCCAACACAGATACCATCAGGTACCAAACAGAAGCAGCAAAGAGAGGCAACCTGCCAAAAAGCAAAGAAGGTGGAACAGTGCCTCTTATTTATATTACCTAGGCAGAAATGGCTGCCTGCAAGCATTATTATGCTTCCCTCACTCATGAAAAGCAGGACAAAGCTGGTATGAGCAACTCCCCAACCAAAGATACAATGTGATTGTGAAAATTCTGATGCCTGTCTGTACTTCAGGGCTAGGTGATGCAGAGAGGAGTTACAGTATATGTAGATTTCCTTGGAGATGCTGAAGGGGAAACTTAAATTCATAATCCACTTGATCCTTCCTTGGTTCTCCCAAAAATACAGAGGGCACCTTTTAACCCATTCTACATTCAGTTATTCCCACATTTGTTCCCCTTGGTTTACAGAGAAGCTCTGAGCAGTACTGGAGACAAGTCACTTCAGGATGCCTGCCTGGATTTTCAATGCCAATAGTATATCCCACCCTTCCTTCTGAAATTTCTATACTTGATACTAATTTCAGCTGCTTTGTCACCACTGCAGGTCACAGTATGGTATATGCCGGTGTATTTTAAGAAGCCTGGGTGTCTTTATGGGTAACTTTTGCAGTGCAGCTGCTGGACTCTGTGTAGCAAGGACAAGAGCACCCAGAAAAGGGTAAACCTTTTGATCTGCTAGGAGCAGGAACTCTACCAGCCATAATGTTCTGCAGTCAGACATTCCCACAGATCCAAGCCTAATTCACAGGATACAGGGCTGAAGGGAGACCCCTTGCTCTTGTATCAGGCTCTGTAAAGTCCTTGGAATGGTTGAACTTCATTAGCACATTTGCTTATATCTGAAGCTTAGTATAAAAGCAAAAAAAAGAATTTGTTCCTCCAGCATTTTCAAGGCTCTGTATTAGAATCAGAAGCCACAACTGCTGCTAGGAGAAATAAAGAAGAAAAAAAAAGAAGAAGAAAAATAGATGAGAGAATGACTAATGGGACTGACAGGAATAAATTCCACTGTTTTGACTGACCACAGCCTTGCACTATAAAATCCTGGGACCTGATGCACAGTAAAGTTATCACAGGACCACAGGCCATGTAATGGAAATCATTTAAATTTCAATATTTCACCCAGTTGCGCAGACAAGGCCTGTGGAGTGTGTCATTTCAGCTGAAATATTTATTGAGGCTGCCCACTGGTTTATACAGCAGGAGTTTAAAGGTTAAGAATTCAACTCTCCAATTCTGAAACTGGGAAGAAACAGAAATGCCGGAGAAAGGAGATACTCAACAGCATATGAGAAAGTGATGGAAAATTCATTGCTTTCAGTCACTTACAGCACTTGTTATGCAGAAATGGGCTGAACTCTTCAGTTTTGCTTGGAGGCTTATGTCATCTCCAATCTTCCCAGTGAGACTCAAGCATGGTTTATCACAGCAATTTGCATGTAGATGAATGGCATCTCTGCTTTCAGTGATTGCATTTCTGAAATTTGGTTTTCACTAGCTCAAAGAAAACAGCTTTAAGGGGGGAAATACAACTCCTTAAAAACCTTTGTGCTCTAAACAACTGCACTCAGCCTAACTTGTTTTTAAAAAGGAAAATTAAGGTGCCAGCAGATACAGAGCACCACAAATTTGAATTTTCAAATTCAACTCCGGCAGCAACTGGAGAATTTTGTTTACTGTGTCATCAGCTAGAAACAGCACAGGCCCATGCAGAAGCAAGTTTTGAATGCAGGTTTTTTTTCTCAACTACCATGGATCTGTCAGGGAGAAACAATTTAGAAATCCCTTCAAAGTTTTGTCCAGGAAACTCATCCTGCACAGCATTTTTCATAATCCACTCCTCCAGATGTACTTCTCACTTTCCTAAACACATTGTTGAAGAAGTCCAAGGCCCAGTGGCTTAAGACAGTACTCCGTATCTCATAAGGAGGTTACTGCTGTGGTACATCAACCAAAAAAGATACATTCTTATTTTATTCATTTGGTTGCCAGCTTATCTTCCTATGAATACTGACTGTAGATTGCAAATAAAATACAGAAGCCAGAGAGCAAGAAGAATTCCTGAAATAATGATCATCATTCTGCCGTTTGCTTCATTAAATATTTTAAAAGATAAGTTTTACATGTTTTCAGCCAGCTAAAGGTTTCTTGCTTTTTTTCTTCTCTATTCTGCTGCACTGATGAACAACAAAATATCTGCAGCTGCCCAAAACCAAGCAGGACTTTGCAGGCTGATTTGAATGTACCAGAATATTGAATTGCACCATACTCTCCCGTGCAGCAAGTTTTCAATATTCAGAAGCATCAACTAATGACAGGTCCAAGATTAGTTAAATGGAACCAGATGGCAGAAGCTCCAACCATAGCTTAAATAAAGCAGTCAGTGCCACAGGGGCCACCGCTGCTCACTGAACTCCTTTCTCTCTTCAGTGACTGTGTTGCTTTTTTCACCAACCAAACACTGTAACCATGCTGTGGTTATATTCTGACACCGGAGACATGCTATGCCATAGCCAGCTAATGACTCTTTCATAGCCTACAGATTGCCTTACTCAGAGATATATCAGAATGGCAGCATTCAGTATTAGGTAATCAAGAGATTACATGGGTCATGTTCTGAAACCCCATCAATATTTGTAAAAGCATGTTGAGCAAAACATATTCAACACCCTCTTCCCCAGAGTAGCTTTTTTCACCCAAATAGTCCACATAATTTCACTTGGAAGTTTATCCACCAACCCTGTATTCTAGAAGACAAAATAGAAAATATTAATTATATAAAAGGTAAATAGCTTTGGTACCATCTGTTCAAAGCACAAACACTGTTCCAAGTGTTTCCAACTACCACGAGTATTGAGGCTCTACTACACAGCTGATTTTTAGCTGTAGTTCACATGATAAAGTAAGACCAACATATTTACAATACCAGAAGTTGGGAAACATATTTAAAACAAAGCTTGAAAAACAGCAGTGTAGAAACACCAGCTGATCTGCTACTACGCTTTAGAAGTGGAGCAGTTTTGCTTTAGCAACAAAAAGCTACAAGAAGTTAGTGTTAGAGGTAGCCTCCTCTGGAGCACTGGTTCTCCTCTGGCTCAGGTTTCTCATGGGGTTCCAGCTGTGAAGCCTCCTCTGTTACCCTGCTGCTCTCAGATTACTCCCTCCTCTATCTGAGCCTGATAAAACACAATTAAAATGGGTTTGCGTGCCAAAGGCTCAGATTTAAGAAAGTTACAGATAAACAAGAATAACATTTGATGGGTGAGAATTGAGCTCAAGTCAAGATTGCAGAAAACATGAGCAGAGCTGAGATCTTCAAAAATTCTGTTAACACGCACCTAAAATTTGGGAAAGCAAAATTAGGAAAACATGCTGACATTTTTAAAAGATCCCTTATTCAAAGTATACATTCACCGTAAAGAAAAACAGGAGTGAGCTGGCATCTCACGCCTCAGGGGAAGATGCACCATGCTCAAATTGCAAGAGATCACGCCTGACTCACCTCCAAAATTAAAATTCAGTCCTCAGAGATGGAAAGTGAATGTAAAATGACAAAGTTCGTAAGCTTCTATTCCTCTATGTTAAAACAATCTTGTATTTTTATTCTTTTTTTGCAAAATTTTACTGCTACAAACACTTGACTCCAACACAACTCTCATCCACCTTCAGCAGCTTCTTCAAGAAACATTGGGACTTTGATCAACTAAATGCTGAACCGTTATCACCGCAGTTGATTACCTCTCTCAGCATAACAAAGCAGAGCAGGTTATTGCATTCCTGGCGGGAAATAGTAAAAGAACTGTTGGAGTTGCATTAAATTATTCAGCTGTGTTACCCAAGAGCCAACACCAATAATAAAAACAGGAGTGTTGCAACAGAGCTATACACTCAGAGACTTTCAGAGAGTCGGTGACAGCAAAAGAAAAGCATTCCATAATTTGGTTTTAGGGAATGGTTTTTATATCAGTCGCACTCCCAAGAGTCCTTTCCTCTTAGACAGTGTTTTCTAAGGTGCCTCTCTATTTCTGAAGATTTTTCCTCATTAGGTACCACTAACACAATATCCTGACTCCTGTCCCCAAAATTGGGCCAGTATTCATCCCCAGGGCCCAGAATAACATTGATTTCTGATTATGCTATCAGAAAGCAACTCTAAAACAAACAACCTGACTGCACACCTGCATCACCCCAACTTCATCAGTCTGGGAAACAAACCCCTCAAGGCTGTATTAACTTCTTACCTGTTTAGCTTCATGGAGCATTTACAACAAAAATCCAGCTTAAACACAGTAACTGCAGGATGTACCATACAGGACTGGAGCATATAATAGCAAACTAATCACACTTCAGGCTCTTCTGAAGCTTCCGAATAACTTTAATTGAAACAGCATTACAGAACCAAATTTACTTGATAATAAATTGTTAAAAGCTTGTTTCAATCCTGATCATCTCTTGTGGCATATAGCACAGAAGTAGAGTTAAATAAAGCACATCCTCTCCTGTATCCTCTATTGTACTCCTCTACTGAATATTTGTTTTTAGGCTCATTCAGTTCAAACAGTACAGCACATTTCCCTCCAAGGAGTTCACAAGCTGAAAATGCACAAAAGAAAAATAACACCTGGAATGTCATCCTTCTACTCAGGGGCTTTTTGCAAAGGGCATTTTATCTGATAGCAGAAAATGGTACAGCTGTGTTCACACCCACACAGACAGTAAGGATCAGCAGACAAGATGACGCAGGGAGCAGCCTATTACATTATTGAAAATGTACTTGGGAGTCTCCTCCTTACTTACCTCCATCATAACCCTGTCTTTAAATCTTTTCCAGAAAGCTGGCCAGCATTTCTGGGGTAGTCAATCCCATTTACTGCACTTGCTGTCCAGAAAACATCATCCACGCTGTTTCAATTGAACAAATTCATCTCAGTTTCATCCATTACTGGGCTCAACTCTATCTCATAAAACTGTAGTAGATTTAACTCCAACCTAACTTACTACCTACTAATTAATATACCTTGTAGGTCATGCTGATTCTAATACAATAACAAAGGTCACAAACTTATCAGATACTTTATTTTTGTTAGTGCTGAGATATTTCATGTCAAATGGGGAAGAAAGGGACTTCCAAATGTTTGGAAACATGGACAGGAGTAAAATAATGGGTTTTCTTCAGTTCACATTAAAACAATTTGTTTTAACAGCCATAAACCATGGGGGAACTAGAGTGTCTCAGCGCCTTGAGAACTGATAGAAGGGGTCACAGGAGCAGCTTTTGCTGTTCCTGGGAATGTTTGCCCATGATCAAATACACAAGCTGTTGAGAAGATTCATGTGTGGAAGGCACATAGGGCAATCCTCAGAAATACTGTTGTTTTTTTTTGTTTCTTTTTTTTTTTTCCTGGAGTACTTAAACTATTTGAAAAAATAACATTAGAGTTATAAGAAAGCTGAGTGGCAGAATTGAAACATGTTTCAGAGTGTTTCTTGCTGCATCTTTTCATTAAATCCCTTACTTATGTTGAATAATGGAGAAGAGACTGTATATCCTGTATTTCTTATATGAGTCACACCTCATTATCAGTGGGACTGAGCAGGCACTGCCTCTGATGTGGGTCAGGACATCAGGGTGAAGGACGATGCTGTGCATAGGAACCCCACCCAAGGTCATGGAGGGCCTGGAAAATGCGAATGAAGAAAAGATGTTTGTATAGCAGAGGTAGCCTGAAGGTGACGGAGAAAGGTAGGTGCTACAGCAGCCTCTAACCTAGAGCTCCCATATAATTCCTGTGAATTTTGACAGTTCATAGCTACCTGATGTGTGCTTACCAGGCTCTGGCTTGAAATACCCGCAGTCCCTTGGCAGAAGCCTTGACCATATGTAGCTGCTACAGAAGTGCACAATAATAACACTATCTCCAACGTTCCATGCTAAGTGCCCCATGACCTTTTTAGCTGGGCACTCTAAGTTAGCTGACTTCTGGCAATTTTGACTCATCTTTGTATCATAAAAATGTACAAATGCAGAGCATTCAGATGCTCCCATGCCACCACTCCCTATAAACCCAAGAGGAGATGGTAAGGCCCCGTTCTGTATTACATTTCAGTGTGGCACAGTAAATAGAGTAAGACTGCATAGATGTATAAAAGACACTGAAAGAAGCCCATGCTCCCTTAAATAAGCAATTATTTTAAAGTCAGGCAGGTGGTGCAGGATCTTGTAATTGAAGCCTATCAAGTTGCATAAAGACAGAGGATGGAATTCACACTCCGTATAGCCATAAGTACCTCTTTTACATAACTTATTTCACCATCTTGAGATCCTTTTTGCTGTTTAACAATAATGATTTTAATTTATAATACATCATACAGTAATAAACAATAACTAATCTGAGCAGCAGCCATAATGCTATGTATAGCGATGTGGCGCTCATTCAAAAATTCACTATAGGAAAAAGTGTAGTGAATGTAAGAGAAATAACATTAAGTAACATCGTGTTGCTTCAAATAAAAAGGGTCAGCCACGGCTCTGACTTTTCTTAGAAAAGTTGTTTTTTAGTGAAAGAGCACAGAGGGATTAGCTACCAATAATTCACTGTCAGCACAAATGGATACACAGAGCAAGGCTTTGGCTTGGACATCTATAGTTGGTACTTTCACTAGTGGATGGGTTGATGCAATAAATGTATCTATGAATACATTTTGCAAACAGTTGCAAAGAGCATGAACAATGGGAATACACTTCAAAACATTATCTACAAAAGAAACATTCTGGGGAAAAAAAACCTACCAGAACATAAGAAAAATTCTGAAAATATTGTTCTGCACACAGAGAAGATGGGAAACAGCTGCTTAGGTAGCAGTTATGCACTACCCCGTCTTGGTGAGCCCCAGCTGGAGGCTTCTGTTCTGTTTTGGGCATGACAACATTTGAAAAGCATGTGGACAAATGAGAGAAAGTCCAGAGGACGGCAGCAAGAATGAGTAAATATCTCAGGAAACAAGACCAAAGCAGAAAGATGCAGAGGCATGGTGTTTAGTCTACAGATAGAAAAGCTAAGGGGAGGCATGGTAACAGTCAAATACAGGAAAAGATCATGAAAGACAAGAGGATGATTTGTTGATAGGATAAGAGAGAAACTTGAAATGTAGAAGGCATGATCTATGTTAATAAAGAATTTTTGGTGGAAGCATTTCAAACCACCAGAATCAATTACTAAGTGAGCTGAGGCAGTAACAATGACCAGAAGTCTTTGAGAATAAAGTTGACGAGCCTGTCTAGAATTATTTGATCTGTCCTGGGGCACGAGTCAGACCAAATGGCCTATCCTTAATTACAATCACTCCATTTGGATTCCTCTGCAAGTGTTTTCTGCCACATTGCTCTACATGTGAAGGCAGCACACAATTAACAGTGTAGCTAACATACCATATCCTGTTGTTACCTGCCTGTGTCATAACCAGGCTTTTTCCCTACTATTTTCTAATTGCTCTTTTTCCAAGTAAGGCGCTAAGTACCAAGAGGCAAGGAAAGCATCTTTCAGACTACTGTAAAAGACCAGCAGGCTGATATCAAGCAGACTATTTTGAAGTATTTGTTGATTGACTATATTATGTGACCAGAAGAAAATGTTTAAATTTTAAAATTTTCTCCAGGTCAGAGGTCACTTAAGCAGCAAATGCATTCCAGTTGGTCCATTGGTAAAATAAGCCAAGAACAAACAAGAACAAACCTGAACTTACAAAGAAATGAAGTGGTTACAATTTAAACTGCCCAAAACCAGAGACATGACTCCCAGGAAAGCACAGACTACAGAGTAGAGAGCTTTAAAACCTAAAGACAAGCTCATCCATGAAGTTGCACTAAACACAGTTCTGCATCACCTAGCTTGTAATATGAAGTGATCTGAAACTTCACAAAGAAGCCTGTCATTGTGTAAAACCATCTCTCACAGGTTGTTGCCTATGGTTAGATTCAGCTAATATATTATTTATAGCATTACACCACAAGCAGTGTATTTTGTTAGGATAGTGAAGACAGGCAACAGCTGCACAGAAACCTGAATTTTGAAAGATGTGTTTCAGAGGTGCACCACCTGGAGGTGCTTGTGAGAGTAAAGCTGTTTTAATCTCTTCCAAGACTAGGCCAAAACAAGATCAGCTTTAAGTATGTTTATGAAATACTTTCTCCCTTTCTATTTAGTAAAAACATCACATTTTAGCTCAGCTCAGTAAAGTCTAGAAACTGTGTTTCATTCATGTGGCACACCCTGCTGGTTCCTGGAGAAACAATATGGGGCTCACCATGTCAACAGGCTGCTGCTGCTCCTGCTCTCCCACGCTGTATTCTTTCACAGTCTCACCATTTGCAAAATAAGCAATCCCTGGATATTTTGCTCCATCAAAAACTTCACTTGTCCTCCGCATTCTTCTGGAAAGTAGTATCCTCCTCCTGCTCAACAAATCATATCTCTTGGGAGCACAGTTCTAGTGCAGTAGATACTAAGGGTACAAGTCTATTCTTAAACAACAACAAAATTCTGCATCATAGAGAAGGGTCAGAATCTCAGAAAATGTAATTTCAGGGCAGTGGAAGGTTGACACACAGTAGCTCACAGATGTCACCCTCAAGACCTTACCATTCATTTAAGAGTATTACATATTACATTTATTTATTTATTTTTCTTTCTTGGTTGTCTAAGGGAGTTGAACAGGAGAAACCTCAGTAAGGACTGCTAAGTTGCACCGTTCCATCTTGGTTCACATCAAAACCAGGAAATCCTTATGAGTAATTTACAGCATCATTATGTTCTCTTAAACACAGGTGCACTTACTTTTGTGTCGTGTCATTAATTCTCTTGCTGTAAGCCAGCTAGGGAAAAGTATATTTTTCAGTGTTTATACCTGCAACTTGTTTACTAGATGAAAGCTGGAAGAATACAAAAAGTACAACAGCAAGAAATTAGTGAAGTTAACACTGCTGTGTTTTACAAGAGTAACGTTCCAAATCTCTTTATGGCAGAAGTTCAGTGTGGAGTTACCTTCTGAAGCTTCAAGGGCTATAAAAGTTCCTGCACACACATTTTGGAAAAATATTTGACATCAGTGAACTAAAAAGGAAACTCACCTGTAGGAATTTACTGGGGACTTCTCATGACATAAGAACAGATGCATAAGAGGAGTATTATGCAGGATAAATAGAGAAGTGACACTAGAATCTGTGTATTTAGTGATTTTGCAAAGAATCCCCTCCTTTCAGATAGACCTGCCTTGTAGCAGGGCCAGTGGGAAACCAGGAAACCCAACCCTAAAGCTACAGGATGCAAGGACTGCTTGTATTTGAACTGTGGGTGAGTCCTGGCTATTTGCAAACTTGGTATTAGCCTCAGAACAGGTAAAAGAGAAACCAGAGCAAGAAGAAGAGAGAAATAATAAAGCACAAAACATGTGTGTGTAAATTGCTACTGCTGAGGCAAGCATTAAAAAAGACAGTTGCAGGCTCTCTGCTTTACACAGCAGCTAGCATATAATTCCCTTAGGCTACTTTTTTCTTCTAGAAACCCACCTAAACCCTCAGGGGCTTGAAGGCACCAGCACGTGTTTACAAAGAACTGAAACAGCCAGCTAATCCTCTGAAAATACTACATTTGTTACCGATTCATTTGCCACCTGCTGGCAATGTAGAGAAGTGTCCAGCAATTCACACAGCACTAAAGCCCCTAACCAGAGGATACAGAATGTCCTGCACTCTCACAGGATTTGGTAAGCACTAGGACATTGCACAGGCACACAGAATCATCCAACCAACCATGAGGTGCTTCATTACAATTTCTCTATGCACTCAATTCACGTTACTCCCCTTTGGCCAAAATATTCTCTATATAATTATTGCATTCATTGAATTGAAGAAAGTGACATTCAAAACAGATGCTGCTTCTTGCTACTATACTTAATATTCTGAGTGATTCTGAGAAACAAAACATGTTCAGATTGTTTAAATATTCTGAAACTTGAGGTTATATACAAATTTACAAACCATGAAGCTGAAGACTGCATGGTGACTGTCTTCATAAAATAATGCTGCTTGGTTCAGTCTCACCAGAACAGGTTCAACTGAGGTTTGATCACAGTACAGGTTTGCTTCCTACAGATTGAAATCCACGAGGGCCCAACCACCAAAGGAGGTAGGAGGTAGGCCCTTCTACATCAAGAGCTGATCCAGGGGCTCCTCAGCTGCCAGGTGACATTTGTTCAACTTCAGAGCATTGCCAGTGGAAAAAGACTTGAGTAAATTCAACCACCGTGGAAAAACCTACGTTTTGCACATTCTAAATCTAGAAACAGATGTCCACTACGAGGAATATCTGACAACACCAGCTGCTACTGCTGTGATAACACAATGACCCTAAATATGGGTTTTCAGTTTATTTTTTAAGGGATAAGTAATACACACAAACAGGAGTTAATTTAATATTGGAACCTCAGGCTAGATAGAGTGAGATAGTAGGTGCAGGGACAAGGTGTAATGTATCAGCCCTCAGCCAATATAGAGAAACTTTCAGCTACTCTGAATTCACATGAAACATAGAGGGATTACTGCCTCCTCTTGTGTTCCCTGAATACTGAAGACAGAGATAAGCTTCATGAGTTTATTTTACACATAGACAATTAAAAATACATTTTAGTAATGTTTCTCATAAAAATCGTATCAATAGCACAGTAGTGAAATCAGTGCAACCAAATTAAAAGGACAGGAAAGAATATTTACAATCATATGGTATTGTACTAAAATTGCAAGATCAAAAATTCTAAAGTGCAAAGGTGACTATATCCTAAGCAGATACAGATATCTGTTTTCTTGCTTATACTATGAACCAGCACCATCATTACAGACACACCACTTACTCATGCTGAATCATCAGGTGATCAAATATTATCCCTAGGCTGACAGGCAAAACTTCTCTATGGAAGGGAGTTGGGCATCAGCATCCGAGGGCCAAATGCAGTCCTTTAGTTCTAGGAGTCTCACATACTGGGTGGAGGTTAACTACTCTCAACCCAGAAACGTGGAACATGGAAGAAGTGTATTAGAGGTGTTTAAATATAAATCTTACAAATAGCTCAATGGTTTGATTTATAGAAGATTAAAGACAATCAATGCATTTTAAAAGGATGAAGTAGAGGGCCCAGCACTCAGTATTTTATTCAGTTGCAGTTTTGTCCTATCTCAGACAAGTTTATAAAGACTATTTACACCAACACCATCTGAAGGCTTAACCAGCAGAGCTTCTAAACCAGAGAGGCCACACAAGCAGGCTTTTGCAGCAAAAGAATATTAAAAGGTCATCTTTCAAAATACCTCACTCTTAAAAATTACAAAAGGAAATCATAATTGAAGGAACACAGCTGCTAAGTTTCTAAATTTCCTGAAACTCTCAGTCAATTCACCTGTATTCTTGAGCACATTCAACAGGCAATCAATATATTATTTACAGTAATTCTTGCCACTATCCAACAAAACCAAAGAGAGAACTGCTCACTGGCTGGCCACGCACTATACTTTGCACACTAAGCAGTCTCCTGTTCCTTATTCTTGGGCAAAACTATCCGAAGTTCACCATAGGATTTTAACTACAAGTAAACAAAGTTTGTCTTGAAAAGCAACACATGTTAAGTGACTTAGTTTGTTCCATTAGTCTATTTTTAAGCTACTACATCATATTTACCGAAACAGCTATGGCATAAGAAGTTTCACGGCTAGGCTTAAGTAATGCCATAATCTGACACAACCCACTTGGTTATGCTCTGAACTATTTACAACGAGCTTGATTCAAACAAACCACTTGGTTGAAGAAAACGTCCAAAGAATTAAGAATTACAAGTCCTTAAAATAATCTTCCCTAAGCTGTTGTTTGGGAAGGATTTAGTCATGATTTGTTCAAGATATTCATGCACTGAAATACACCCATGGTCAAGGCCTCACTGGAAATGAGTCCTGGCATCTACATGTGCATTAGCAGACAAAGGTAAGTCTGTGCCACAGAGCATAGCAGAGGGAGAGGGAGGGGAGAAGGAAAAATGGAATACAGTCTGTCTAAAAAGAAAATTGATTGGGCTGGGACATATAAATATTGACACACAGAGACTTGTTAAGAACAATGAGCAACTAAAAAAATTCACGATTTTGAAATGGAGTTTACTGCATCTTGATCCTTAAAGGGAGCAGGCTAAGCAAATGCAGATGACTACAGCTGTAATAAGCTTTGTAGAAGGATTAAAAATCCGTTCCGGCAACAAAACTCCACACTCTATTTTGGCAAAATTTAAGCTGGTTTTTTAACAATGCAAGACATCTAAAAACTCAGCCAATCAGTTACAAACAGATCTGAATAACTCTTCATAAAATATACCCCAACTAATTCTGCAGCATTAGAAGAAAATAGACCAATTTTGGGCGTAAATTCTTCTTGATGGTTATTATCCTCTACCCACATAAGTCCTTAAAGAAATGAAACTTCTTCCAAAGAAGCAACTCAATTGCTTTTATGCTTTTGTTTGTGTACAGACCTGGCTGAAAGAAAAATCTATCAATGGAAGATGCAAGTTCTGCATTTGATTCACCACGATAGCCAGTATTAAACCCTCTTTGCCTTTTACAGCAGTGAATTCTGCACTTTGGTCCATTACCATGGGAAAAGTCTTGGGGCTCATATTAATCTCACAAGGTTTTAGTTCCACAGGCCTTCAAGGAGCTATGCTCCAGCTCTACAAACTAAGCTACACTAGTCCAATGGAATGTTGAAAATAAAAAAAAACAAAACTGAATTACACCACAGTGGAAAGAGAACCAACCCAGACAGTACAATGCAAAGAACATTTTTACAGCACACGTCATGTTAAGTGCACATGCCATCATGTTTTCCTGAAACGGGAACATTCTCAAACTCAATTTCCTTCTCAGGTAGAGTGAAATGCAGTAACTAGTATCTAGAGACTGCAAGGCTCTCACTTCAATACATGCACTGTATTTTTTTTCCTCTTACAACAAATTTTGTTGACATGGGTGGTGTTGAGTGCTCAGTACTAAAGAATGCTATCACATTTTCCACAGTAGGCAGATACAGAAAAAGCAAGTTCTGCAAAATACTTTCTGTCTTGACTGAGCTTGGCTTTCAGCAAAATCTCTTCAAAAGGAGCTGATTTCAGTGCACTATTGCAAAAACTGAGACGCAGCACTGTTTTCACATAGCATAAAGGAAATCTAGAGCTTGGTTTCCCAGCTGTTCTTTCAGCAATTCACCTAATCTCACCTGTTATCTTAACAGCTTCTTTTAGACATGACCTGAATGGAAACACAGCATCTTAGTTACCATTCTACTACCTTATGCATTACACCTTCATATATTCAAACTGAGCTTTTCTAGTGTCAGGTGATTTCAAATATCTGCAGCTTTCAAAGTTACCAGCACTTTAAAAATTCAAAAGTTACGAATGTATGATGTTGCAATGCATCACTTTCAAGTATTTACTTTTTACTTGCTGCATTACTTTCACGTACAATGTGATAGTAAAGGATTTTAATTTAAGGACAGACAAGCTAAAGTGCCTCACCACAAATTCTTATACAAGAACCTTAATCTAGAGAGAAAAGAACAGAGGCTCATAGTTTCAGAAGAATATACATTGTGCTCCAATTACGCAAAACTTAAGGTTTTCCAAGTCCTGTGAAATATCACTGGAGTGTTAAATACAAACCTATATTTTCTTCATTCATTGCAATTAAGTAAATTGTAACATGGCAAGATGCTAAGCCTGTATGAAAAACCTGAATAAATATAGCTGCTCATGCAAACTCTTGTTTGCAGAATGTGACATTATATAGCATATATTTTAATGGAAAATCCTCAAGCATTACAATTGTGATATTTCCTTTGCTACTTGTGGGTAGAAACCCACAAAAAGAAACTCTCTAGAGGCACAATAGGAACATTTAAGCCCATTCATTCTATGATACCCCACTAAAACAAAAAAATAAGTCAGATATAAATAAACTGCTAGAAATGCGTCACATTCTTAAGCAAGATAGATGCATACTAATAAAAGTAAACCATATTAGTCTTCTAAATTAAAAAAGAAGAACCAGAAAAAGGGAGATAAGGAATAAAAGCCCCAGAGTCCAATTAATACAGTTTTAAAGTGAATTCAAAGCACCTATGGCACTTATGAAATCTGGCATCCACTGTCTTTTTGAGGCTTTATATCTGGTTCCTTCAGAGGCTTTACTTCTTCATCTGGTTTTGGTTTAGCCTGCAAACAAGAAAAAGAAATTAAATACCACAAGTACAAACCACTGGGTCTCCACAGCATTCAAGCAGCACTAACTTACACACCCTCATCTATCAGCTCTTCCTCTTTTTAAGGCTAAAGACTTTGAGCAAAGACGAGGGAAGAAAACGAAATACTGACTATTTCAGCATCTTCCAATGAATCATTTTCTTAAAAGGATCACTCTATAGCATTCTCTGCCATATCATCTCAGCATCTTACATACATTAGAGAATTTCTTTTTATTCAGGACTTAAAAAAATATAACCCCTATTCTCCAGTAGCTGCTAGTATGGGAGAGGGATTAACCAACTCGTCCCCTTGCACAGGGGGAAATCATGAGCTCAGGTGGTAGCCATGCATTTAAGTCTTTGCCTACTGAGGTGGGAAACATTATACAAGACAAAAATAGCAATTTATTATAGACAGAATAAAGCTAAAGGGAAAAAAATATATAAGATTATCTTACAGTGTCATCCTTTGGTCTCTTGGTGAGATCAAATGCAGCAAGTGTTTCAGGAGTCCAGTGTGCATTCAAGGCAGGAAATTCAAAAGGAACAGGCTCTACTAAGCCATAGTTTGCTTTCAATTCCAGCTGGGGAGCCTCTGCAGGCACCTTCTGAAAGTAGCTGTAATAGAATACAGCAACATATTGAAAACAACACATTCTCTCTGAAAGTTTCATTTGCAATACTAAAGAAAAACAATTCAGGTTTTCACAGCACTGCACTCGTTCTCTTTCATGAAGGCATCATCCAGCATGCATCAGCAAGATTTGCAACAAAAGCAGTTCCTTCTTGATATTGTTCATCCCCAAAGAGCCAGGTGGATTCTTCCCTGCTTCGCACCCATCATTCCCAGCACTTCAATGAGAAGAGCACCTTTTGACCAGGAAGATGTTAAAAAAAAAAATCTGAAAATATTTCCCAAGAAAAATGAAGAAGGCAGTTCTTTTTCTCCACTACTGCAAGACCAACCTTAATGTGCTACACTGCATATTAGCAGCAACACTACAACACTCACAAAGACTTGACACAATGCAAAGCTTGAATGAGGGTATAAAACTACCCTTGGCAAACTAACAGTAGTTGAAAACTGACTATTACTGATATGTGCTACCTTAGTTCCTGTGCTGTGGCAGGGTTCTGAGGCAGGTATATCACCCCCAAAAGCCCTGATTGTCTAGTTTCCTTTCCTATTTGCAGTTCAGTTTGGCACACTTGACAATCCTTTTTGTTTAGTCAATTCTCCTACCACACCAGTGTTCAAATACTGTAAAAAGGGGAATAAACAACCGTAGAATACTATATTTATAAGAGGAGAGAAAAGGAGAAAGAAGTCATCAAGATAATTCTAAAGCCAAACTAATGTTGCTATTTTAAACCATTACCAAACTCTTTCTTCAAAGGAGCATGAGCTGTCAGAGTTTTATTAATGGTATTAATTAGACTTCTAAAGTTTCTATTATCTTAAGTATATTCCTCATGGAAGGCAGGACTGTTTTGTCTTCCCACTAGCAAATCAGAATCAGCCACCAGTCTCGTCAATTTTCCCTCTGTTCTCTTCTGTCTACTAGATCTCATCACCAGGGAAGAGGACACTAAAGCAACACAGCAACAGCTGCAAAACTTTCTCCTGTGCAGAAGGAAAAGGAACAAAGTGGCTGTGGAACAAAGGAAGAAACAGCTTAACCTTGCCAATATGTCAGTCCAACCTACACAGCCAGAGTGGTAGCACAGACCCATAAAGTCAGGTAAGAGAAAAAAAAAGTCAAAGAAAACTACAATTCTGCAAACTACATCTCGTGCTCTATCACAGTATAAGAATTGGAAAAAATAACATTTACTATCTTATCCTGAAGAACAACAGCAAAAATACAGCAGATAAGATATTAACAGGCCATACAGAGTATCGTACCAATCCCAAGTTACTTACATGAATCCATTCTCTCTCTGGCATTTTTCAAGTGTGTTCTTAATCAAAGTTCCTAATTTCCTAAAGAAGAGATGTCCAGAAGGTTTGGCAGTAGTCCCAGGCCCTTTGGTTTCTCCATATTCTTTGCACAATGCCTCAGCCTTAGCAAAAACTGTGCAAGAAAGAAACGTAATAAAAATCAGTTACACGAGTCTGTTAAATGACAGTTCTGATCTACACTGCTTGAGCTTTAAGAGACATCAGACTCCATTCAGTCTTCTTGCTTCTCAGAAACAAAAATAAACTAAAAGGCAGTACTTCCAGCCAAGATTTACTGCATCCAAAAAATGACTAAGAACAGAACAGAAAAAAAAAGTTTTTTGAGTGGAGAGAAGCAGGGAAACATTCTTACTTTTGGGGCAAAATGCAACAGTAAGCTTGAAAACTGTGCAACATTGTAGAGAACAAGAATAGATAGGAAGGTATCTGTGCAGAGCAGAGGTTCAAAAACAATACTTAATATGGAGTTGGAAAAGAAGCACTCTTCTCTGAACAGCAGGCACAGTAAAAAACTCAGTATCTGTTTTACCACAAGTAATCCAATTTAGCTTGTTCTTACTCTACTTTTGACTATTCTTAAAAGTTTTTAATTGGATTATTTGAGCATTTTTGCACATTGTGGTAAAGTTAAGCAGTGCAGGCCACTGGGATACAAAAGGAAAAGCCACCTGTCTCTACATGATACAGTACAAACAGTATCTCTGAATTTGTGTGCTGGATTTTAACGAGGTAAAAGATAAAAGCTTAAGTTAATAAGAAACAAAATACCCCACGACATAGAAAAATAAAAGGGGCATGTCATCATATCCTATAATCCAGTCTCAGTCACACTTACATTTTTCTGATTCTTGGAGAGATCTAATTGCTTCCCCACACTTGTCACTGGCCAGTAAAGTTTGACCATGGTAACAGTAAGCCTAATGAGAGAGGACAAAATCGTTATCAGCATCACCAGGCACTTTCCACATCAATTCACTTCTGTCCTTCCTTACAACAAGTGGCTGTCTTTGAAGTGCCACTCCCTGCAGACAGCTGACAATTTGGGAACATAAGGCAAAGCAGCATTCACTGATGACTACGTACATTTACTTCAACCAACACAATTCAACACAAACTCTTGAGCTTGGTCTAAAGCAAGATGTCTCAAGTCTAGTCATGAGCACCCTGGAGTTTCATGAAGGCTTTCAAACCACAAGTAGCAGTGTACAGTCTAGTTCAAATCTCTGTTTCACTGTATCAGTATGCAGCATTAAACCCCATCTTACACAGAGAGGGAACTCCAGTAAGTTTACAAAGGCTCTCAAAACTTTTGATTCCAATTCTACAACCAGATCGTGTGCTGTGACAGGCTACAGGAAGTAACCACCACATTGAGCAGCTGATGATCTGAGTGCTCTTATACTAACAGATCAGTCATGTCAAAAAGGACAGTACTTGGAATGGCACTTGACATCTGATGCAGTTTCCTTCAGGACTTTCAGAAAACATGAGCAGCTCTGAATTATGCCTAGAATCAGATTTTGATACGTATAATGGAAAACTAATACTACACTCAATCTGATCTGCTTCAAAAGTCACAATAAACTCCACAATGAGGAAATTTCACCTGGCTCAACAGAAACACTTCAAATGCGACTAACACTGCACAACGTCTCTTCACAGCATGGAAATAAAATCAAGGCAATATGCAAATCCCACTCTCAATCCAGCCCACAGACAACATTAAAAACTGTAAATTACATCAACAAAGTACTTACGTAAGCCATATAGAAACAGGACTTCAAGTTTAAGTACTTCCTCCATTTACCTGCGTAGGTTGGATCCAAACTGGATAATGTTTGATCTGAAAATATGCATGTAGAGTTATAGTCTAAAACATTTTCAAAAAGGAAATACTCCCTAGCCCCACTCAAAGATCAGAATTCACAAACTTAGCAACAGATCTTAACTACAAAGTGGCTGGAAATCAACAACATAAATTATTCCTGCAGAAGCACAGAGAAGCTATGAGAAAAATAAAAGCATGCAGTTTACTAAGCTATCATAGTTATTCCTAGAATCCCTGGAAGAGCTGTTCACTGAGCTTGAAAAGTTAATTTTAATAAGAATCTTTAGGCAGCACTTCAAAGTTGGCTCCTAGGTCAATTTCAGGAAGTGACCTAGAGGTACCTACATACATTACAGTATTCTCCCTCGCATATCAACTCACAAACGTTTGCACTTTTGCAATTCATCCACACAAGGCCACAGATCAGCTTGCTCATCTGTGCAGATGTACACAATTAATCCACTACAGGGTTGACTGCCTGCACCATGCTTCACTGCCCAAAGACAGCTCAACATAGTTCACTTCCCCACCACTAGCTACAGAAAAAGATTATCCCAAAAACAAAAGGCCTTAACAGAACGCGTTGTTACTACCTGAAGCCATAAATGCACTAAATAGAAAACTAAATACCTGAAACATATCCACTGAGAAATAGCACTAATTTTGCAATTAACAAGCAGTCAAAGCACATCTGCTGGCAATAACACATACACCAAGTCACTAAGGATACAAAACAAGACACTTACCAGCTTTTTGGTAGAAGTTAGCCGTCTCATAAGCAAGGGCAGCTATTAGACCTGGATTGTGTTTCAGCTCAATAGCCCGAGCAATTGTCACTGAAAAAGAATCCCACACTATGGTATAAAGCCTAATTGAAAACATCACTCCAAGTTAGTAGAGGCATTTAGCACTTTAAAACTCCTATATTAGCAGAAAACAAATATTATGTTCAAGCTGGCAGGATGAAGATGGTCTGTTTCTTGAACAGACCAACTGCAACATAATGGGAAAGCTGGCAGAACTGTTAGTCTAAAGACTAAGCAGTGAACTTTTTAAAGAAAAAGGACAGGGAATTTATGTCAGGCAAGCACAGAGGAGACTGCATAAAAGATGAGAAAAAAAGAGGGAAGGAATGTTGCACATAAGTTCTTCCAAATTAGTTATATTTGTAGTATCAGACTGATTTGGGACATTTCCTCTGTATTTGTAATTTATGCTTCATTAAAAGCAACCCTCCTCACTAAGACAAAGAACTTTAGTAGAAGGAAAAAAAAAAACAGTATTGCTGCAAATCAGACCTCACACAACAACACAGAAACCCACAGACAAAGGCTGTCACTTCCCACCCCAATAAGTAAGTGTATTTGAAGATACCTTCTTGAGCTTCAGCTTGGCACTGGATGATGTAAGAATCTATAAGTCGAGCTTCCAAATCTCTTCCTTTTTCTACAGGTGTAATCAATTTTGGAATATGACATTCCTAAGCAAAAAGCAAGCCTCTAAGTCAGTTTAGGCTCAATATCATTGTTGTTAATGCAAAGCACATCCTTTATTCTAAAAATGATAGAACACTTAGTGAAGGCCCCAAAAAAGCTGGCTGCACTGTTGCAGGCACTGGTAGGTAGACAGACTAACTACTCTTCTATTGGGAAAAAGGGATTGAGCGACAGCAAAATACATTAACACACTTCTCTTTCCTGAATCATCCAGGCAGTATGAGGTATTTGCTTACTCTGTAACCTCATCAGAAAAGGAAAGGTTTTTCTAAGACAAAAAGTACTCAAAGAACTGACAGTATTCTACCTTCAAATGCTTAAAAATCCCAGCTGCTATCTTCAGGCTTCTGTGAACATCTTTTGCTTCATCTTCTGTTATACTAAGAAAGGACAAAATATAGAATGAATCGTTGACATTTTAGTTGGAAAGGACCTAAGTGTCATTTAGTGTCACCTCCAGCTTTGGAACAGGACTACAGCCAACAGCTGATCAGGTCAGCCCGCTTTGTCTGTCTGAATCTTGAAACTTAAATGGAAAGTCCCCTGTAACTCATAACTAAGTAACTTTCCCCAGTGCTGCACTATTCTCATACCAAAAAGCATTGTATAGTGCTCAGACATTAAAAAAAAAAAAATTGAATAGAACTCACTTGAAAAAGGAACAGAAAGAAAAAGAAACATATGACTTTTAAGTAGAAAGGAGCCTTAGCGTTAAAAGACAAAGTGTTAAAAATCTGTGGGGCTGAGAATCAGCAAAGCAGTGATTTTAAGAATCTGAACTTTGTAGTTGGATATCTAGAGCAGGCAGGATGAGGGGTTTACACAAAATTGACACTTTCTCTATGCTATAGCCTAATGGCATCAATCCTATTGGTTCATCAAAAGAAGAAGGGACTGAAGAGCATTTTGATGTTAAAGGCAAGCGAATGAAGATTAACCATCTCCTCGAACTCCTCCTGTCTCCACATGAACTATAGCAGTCAAAATTCTGAACCTACTGATTTTTGCTGGAATATTGCTGCAATACAATAACTAAGAAAAGAAAAACACTTACTCTTCTTTTCCAGCGAGTCTTGATGCATATTTTGTGTACCACAGAGCTACATTAAAACCCATGGAAACCAGCTCAAATACTGCATCCTGCTGGGCACTAAAGTAAGAGAAAAAAATGAGAGAACAACTCCCTCAAACAATTCAATGTTTTCCATTTTGTTCTGACAAACTCTCTCTGCTGAGAGTTTTCAGCAGAGGTAGGCATTCCTCTCTACAAGCCAACAATTCCCAATTCAGACATTTCTACTTGCTGAACTGCCTTAGAAGACACTTCAGTTTTTACTTATTCCCTTTAAGAGTTTATAATTTTAACTTTCCATGTTCAGATGCCTACCCATACCACTTGGGAACTTTTATTTTAAAACAGTAACTTGAGATTTGTTTAGTTTTGGGTGTGGCTGACATTTTTTCTTTTTTTCTTCTTCTTTTTTTAATTGCACATTTTGTGGAAAGCCTTGCTCTGGAATGTCTACTTTAAAAGTTGTAGCTGCTAAGTTAATAAGTCAGACTCTATTACATCTCTCTCCAGTGAATGTTATTGCAAGTATTTATATAACTGCAGTCAACTGGCATGCCAACTAGCAGGAAGTTTCCAAAGCTAAAAACACAGAATCACAGAATGGTTTGGGACCTTTAAAACCATCTAGTTCCAACCCCCTGCCATAGGCAGGGACATCTCCCTCTAGACCAGGTTGCTTACAGCCCCATCCAGCCTGGCCTTGAATGCCTCCAGGGAGGAGGCATTCAAAACCTCTCTGGGCAACCTGTGCCAGTGTCTCACCACCCTCAACATGGCCTTTGAAAAGACTGCAACTTGCAATCCTAAATTCAATGCAGTTTAGGTACTAATCACTAAAAAGAAAGGTGTGAGGAGAATAATGCTGCCACCAGAACAAATGGTTACATCCATGACAAAACTCTGAGCAGCAGACTATCTTCCAAGGGTAATAGAAGCTTTGAGGAAGTGAAGCACAACTTCTAAATAAAGCATGACAGATTTGTAAGCATAGTTACACAACACGATTGCCTATGATATCAAGAGATGATTGAGTAATCCAGAAGGTTCTCTCCAGATCTACATTCCTACTTAAAACAGCTGCTTTGTTTGTTTGCACTAGGAGTATATATACTAGGAGTTTCAAAGGAAAAGAACAAAAGTCAGACCTCAATCATCATCTGGACATCAATAAAAAATCTCGAAGACAGTGGTGCTAAATGAAAAAGTTTTAAATTGCAGTAAACTATGCTTTCATACTCAGGTTCTTTTTTGCACTGTGTTAGCCAACTGCAGATATAGTTTGTTTACAAACTAAAAACCAGTGGGGTACTTTATCATTAACAAGCACTACTGTGCTGCTACATAAAGCCAACAGATGCTTCAGAACATCTATTACAGCATGGCAATTAGAAAAAATGCAAAGCAACAAATTGTTGGAAACTACCTTGTGTCCAAAGTTCTGTTACATGTTCAAATTTTAATTCGTCTGTGCTATCATACGTACACACATGTAATAGACCAAAAGAAAATAACTGTGTACCACGCAATCATAAAAGCATACATACCAGGGAACATGTCCCTGTAATGTGTCTGTCCACTTGAAATTCTGAATATATCGCAGTTTGCATTCTTGGGAAGAGTCATCCAGTGAAAGGATAAAACCTATAGAATAAAAGAAAATAATTTAAACAAAACAGTACTGACAGCTAATTTCAAAATAAAGAACAGAAAGAAGTAACAAAGGAACAAGAAGTGGTGAGAATATAGATAAAGGAATGTTTATTGCTGTACTACTCAAAACACATGTTACCTCCTGAGACTTCCATTCTTCAGTATCTTGAGAATAAGATTTGAAAAATAAAAACTGGCTACCAGAAAAAAAATCTGTGTACATTAGGTTACCAGCTTACAGAATCAGGGGTTGTTTGGGTTGGAGATCTTTAAAATATCATCTATACTGTGGGCAAGGGCATCTTTCATTAGGTAAGATTGCAGGTCTTCAACCCAGCAAGTCATCATAGCTCAAGAAAAACCTTGCACGTACCATATCGTGACTAGCTGGGAGTTTGACAGAGCTGAGTACAGGATGCTTCTGGCTGCCCCCTGTTACTGTAACAACGATAAGGTCAACAGGGAGAGAGAAAAGGACTTACAAGCATGGATTTATGTAATCACCAACTACCCTGTCTCCCGGGCTACAAGAAATTGCTTCTGTCCAACCACCCAGAAAGCAGGCATCAGTGAGACACATCTTGTAGCAATTGGAGACAGATCAATACAACAGGAAAGGCGTTACAACAAAGGCGTGATGACAAAAGGACTGGCACAACAGAGAGGTGCTATAAAAGAAGGGAAGAAGATTGCTCACCCATATCAAAAAGTTCCAGGTTCGCAGGGGAAAGTTTAACCAAGGAGGGATCTCCAACCAGAGATCCTTCCCCAGGGGCAGTCAGCCCTTAAAGAGGGGTCTAAGAGAGGTGGAGCCAGGCTTCACCCCTTTCAGTCATACAGCTGAATTGCCTTCACCTGTGCTCCCAGGGCTGACTGGATCCTTTCCCTGGTGCCCAGTCAGCAGTTCAGGCCACGACTCAACAGTTACCTACAAAGCTTATCATGGATGTTCAGATGCTAGCAGGAAATCCTGGGAAGGAGACAGACTGGCTTGGGTCTGGTCAGGTCTTACAGATTTTAAGAACTCAAGAATTGCAACAGCAGCTATTTGGGCTATAATTAATTCTAGGTTCTGTCACAGACTTATAGGAAAGAAAATACTTTTTTTATGTACAAGAAATTTTAGAGACAAAGCATGTTTTCCTGAAGAAACTCTAAATCTTACATACAATAACTTAGTCCGTTGTCTTGCTTTTATCTAGAATGTTTCATTAACTTACACCACTCAAGAGACTGAGGAAACTATACCAGCTTGAGCTGCTTCCCTTTCCACAGACTGAAGGATAACTGAGTTTTCATCAATCACCTGATTCCTGTAGATTTGATCCTAAGTAACTTGTCTGAGAGTTTTCAAAAAACACTGCTAAGAGAGAGTTATCGAAATATTGGCAGGAGGGTTCCAAGGGAACATGGCAACTACTGAAAATAAGAACCTAGGGACGTACCTAAGATAAAGAGCAGAAGTATAAGTTTGCAACAAAGTTCTATTACCTAATATTAGATAAATCAGGAGTTTACACTGAAGAGTGACTCTTACTAACTAAACCATTGATTCGATTTATACTTCAGGAGCAATTCACAGCGTAAGAAATGACACTTTCTCCTCTGACAAGAAGCAGAATGAGGATAAAAGCAAGACGATAAGACAACCAATGCTTTCTACTCAGGGTGAAAAAGGACACTGAAACTTGCACAGAGGGCCTAGCAAATATCTGTGACTGGCATCAAGCACAGAACCCATGAAAATACTCTCCTTCCTGAGTAGTGCAGAGTTTCACATAAGATTAGTTCAACACACGTTCCAAGAAGCATTATTAAAACTCAAACTACATACTTGTTTTATTAGCAGTTCTGCATGTTCCTACCTTGCAAGAGTGAAAAGTACAAGTCAGTTGCGTTCTTCATCATCTCTGGATTACAGCTCAAGTCTGTAAACAGCTCCAGCAGTCGCGTTCGAGATAACCTCAAATCACTGTATGAGGAAGGGAAGAAGAAGAAAAGAAAACTAAGAAGCTCAACCAAAGAGCATGCTGTTGAACCCACCCACGTTACCACCATTCTTTTGGCTAAGGAAATTAAAATAAGCATTCAAGTCAGCTACCTTCACACTCTGAAAGGAAGATGCCAATAAACACAAAAAAAAAATCTTCATTTTACCTCTGGATATGTAAGGTTGATTTTCTTTGTTAAAACCACAATCCATTATGGACAGATAGCATTGAATAACAGCAAATAAAATAATGATTATCTATAAATTTTAATCACAGACTAAAATGAATATTCCCTTATCTACCAAGAGGTTAGGTGCAAGTGGAAGAAAGAACAGTAACAAGTAGGAGCATTCATCACCATAAGAATGGGGTGAGCATATGAAGAGAGAATAAATCTGCAAAATAAAGTGTGGTTTCTTTTCCTTATATTCCTGACTACAATAGAACATTTATGTCTTCACTTTACTTATGATTCACTTACAGAGTAATCTTTTGCAGAGGAATGCCCAGTCACCAGAAAGACAAAGAAATGTTTAGTCTTTTGCCTCTATATTATTACAATAGGTCTTGCTATACACTAAGAAACTTGAAAACTGGATAATTTGTTCTTTGTTCAGTGCTATCAGTGTTTCATTGTCTCTCAGCCTACACACTACTTCTAGTTATCTTTGAAATTAGAAGAATAACTATTACTTTTAAAGACATCCTCCAAACAGAGACAGGCTGAAGTTGATTACAAGCACACTTACTTGCAAATCTTAGATGAAGCTGGAGTGGTAGCTACCCCATAATAATTGAACTGAACAGGAGCTGTAGCCTTCAAAGGGTTGCGATGAAACCAGTGAGTCATTTTCCTCCCGTAAAGCTGTTTACACCAAATCTGAAGCGTGGAAAGAAAAACGCAGCTGTAAGAACACATACAGCTGAGGTGTCTCTCAGTTCACAAAAATGCACTTCAAGTGCAAACACTCAGAAAACAAAATAATTTGAAAACTCACATATACAATTATGCTAAACATTTTTCTTCCCTTTGAAACCTTCACCATCCATATGCTTAGTTTTAGAATTGCATTCTCTTGGAACACCTATTTTCTATGAGGCAACTATTTCTATAAACAAAAAAAAGTTATACCTTTGTTCTATATTACTGCATACTTTCTTACTCAAAAGAATTGTTACTGCCTCTGTAAGGTTAAATATTTCCCATGCCATTTACAGGTTGTATGGCAACTGTTGAGTCATGGCCTGAGCTACTGATTGAGCACCTGGAGAAAGGACTGGTCAGCCCTGGGAGCACAGGTGAAGGCAATTCAGCTGGGTGATTGGAAGGGTGGAGCCTGGCTACACCTCTCTTAGACTCAGGGCTGACTGCCACTGGGAAAAGATCTCTGGTTGGAGATCCCTCCCTTGTGGAGTTTTTCCCTGTAAGCCTGGATCTTTAGAGACTACTAAGCATCTTTCTTTTATAACACTGCCCGTTGCACTAGTCCCTTTGTTATTACAACTCCTGTATCACCATTCTGCTGTGTTGATCTAATCGTTACACAGCTGGATCTCATCTCAATTCATTGACGTCATTATACTAGAGGTGTTAAAAATATGTGGACATGTGACACTGAAAGATCTGGGTTACAGGTTTTCAAGATCTTAGGAGGTTTTCAGGACGTAACAGGATGAAGCCCTGAGCACCCTGCTCGGACCCCACACGCAGCTGATGTTGGACTGGAAACCCTTGGAATCACCCTATGATCCTTTTTAAGGCAGGAAATTCCCTATTCTAAAACACTGCACATCTTAGCTGAAACCCAAGAGGCCCGCTGAAAAAGCAACGTCCTGCTGCGTCTCCTAGAGCCCCGGCCTTACGGAAGGACCACGAAGTTCCTTGCCTGTGACCTCTTCGTGCCTGCCCAGCTGCTTGCTGCTTACCTCGCGGGTCACCCAACCCCACAGCGGCCGTTCCCGGCGCGGACAGGCCGTGCTCGCTGCCCAGCCCCACGCGAGGTGCGCTCGGTCACACAAAGGAGCGCCCCGGGCACCGCCCCCCCGCAGCACGGCGGCCCGCCGGCAGAGCCCCGCTCATTGTTCACCGCCCCAGCGCCACCGGAGGCGTAGGGCCGGCCAGGCCGCACGCTCCGGCCGCGGGCCCGCGCCGTAACAGCCCCACCGCCGCTTCCGCTAGCGGCTGACGAAGGGAGGGAGACCTACGGGAACCCCGCTACTCACCCGGGACCCTTCTGCCGGGAGCGGCGGGGCCCAGAGGAGACGAGCGATCCCCGCCCGGGCGCTACAGCCGGTTCGCGGCGGCGCCCTGCGCGATCACGTGACCGCCGCCATGACACGTAGCGAGGCGGAAGCAGCTTCGCGCGTAGCGCCTCTGCCTCGGTAGCGATGGCGCGGGCGGGCGCGGCCGGCGCAGCCTCCCTCGCTGGGCGGCGCTGGCGGGAGGCGGCCGCCGCGTTTGGTTGTCGCGGCGGCTGGGCTGGGCTGGGCCGGCGGCGGGCGTGGGGCTGGCGGGAGCGGCTGCCCGGCGCGGTGCCCCGGCCCGGGGTGAGCATGGTGCCCTAGTGCTGGGGCTATGTCGGAGGCGGCCCGGAGCCTCCTGCAGCGCTGGGGCGCCAGCTTCAGGAAAGGCACCGACTTCGACTCCTGGGGGCAGCTGGTGGAGGCGATCGACGAGTACCAGATGTGAGTGCGGCCCCGGGGAAGGCGCGGAGGACCGAGAGGGGAGGGCGGGCGGGCGGCTCCCCGCAGCGCTCCCCTACCGCCCGGCACGGCCCCGCCGGGCAGCCCGGGGCGGGGCGGCTGGCTGCAGGGCCTAGGCCGCAGCCCCCCCGGCCTCGCCTCCGGTGCCGTTATGTAACGCGGGGCCGCCCCGCGAGGCGAGGCGGGACGCGGGACCCCGGCTGAGGGGAGCGGGGGCGGCCGGGAGCCGCCCTGCCGCTCTGCCGGACCGAAGCCCCCCGGGTGCGGGCGATTCGGAGCGCGGGGCAGCGCCGCGGGGTCCGACTGGGCGGGCGGGCGCGCGCTGCGGGGTCCGCTGAGTGCTGGCGGGAACCTGGGCGAGCGGCTGGCAGCCGTGCGCCGAGCGCGATCCGTGCGAGCTGAGCGCGCCAGCCTCAGGTCCTCGCGGTGGGCGTCTGGAACGAGTCCCGAGCGCTCTCCCCCGGTAGAGTATCGGCCGAAGGGGCACCGTCCGAGCTCCCGGCTGCCCTGGCTCCCAGCTGAGTGCCGTTCCCGGGTGAGCGCTGCGTGGTGAGGTGCTCGCACGGTCCATCGGCGGGTAGGACGGTGTGCACTCAGTTATCTGCTGTTTGCTGCTGGGTTGCAGCTCAGAGGAAGCTGTTACTTGCTACACACCTTGGCACGGGGATGGAAAGGCTTTTAATAAGCGCCCTTACATACACAGTCATGAGGAGTGCATTATGACCCTAACGCTGCAACCCCCCTTGGCAGTATTAGGGGTTAGTTTCCTTCAAGGAATTCCCCTCGGAACAGAAAGTCCTCAGGCTTCTCCTTCAGAGCTTGCTTTGCTGAGAAGTAAGTTCACTTAATGATTGCAGCTGGACCGAGGGAAGAGCTGAGGCATGATTTTCATTCCCTTTCTGTTGCCTCTGATAAGAACTGAGGTGATCTTGGTGCCTGTGCTTTATTCTGACTTCGTAGCAGCATGATATGTTTGTAAGAAAGCTCCTCTGGGTAGCGGCATTGTGAGCTGCCCTTGGAAGCTTTACCACTGAGTTCCTGTGTCCAGTCAGCAGATGAACTCTGTGGCCCTAGGAGGGAGAACATCAAAGATGGACAGGGATTTCCTGGGGAGGAGCAGAGCCTTTTCTTTGTATCCACTTCTCTTCGATGTAGCAGGTAGACCAACAACAGCTTGGATCACTAGGATAGAGGCTACAGTTAAGAAGCATAGGGTGAGATACCAGCCTCTAGCTCTGGAGAAACATCCCATTGTGGCTTCGTGCCACTTGCTGATTTTTTAAATGGGAGTTTGATCATGCTGGCACAGTTGGTTGGATGCTTTTAGCAATTGGCCAGGTCTGTACAGATCGGTGTAGGAAGAATCGTGGTAAACTATGATGAGCTTGCTTATACTGAGAAAGATCTTTCTAGTCTGAGTTCAAATCAGGGCTTGAATGGCTCCAGGCACAACTGCTTGCCTCCCTTGTCCAGGGGGCCTACATCTGCTCAGGTCTTTGTGTTGCTCCTGGAAGTTTGGTGCCAAGATTGACCTTTGCTCATTCAGGTGCATGCTGGTGTGCAAGCCTCAGCCACGAGCAGCACCTCCCACATTGGACATCACCACCTGTAGGACTTGACCTGGTCCAACCTTGCACAAGCATCTAGTGGGACACCAGATGCACTTATTTGGATTAGAGTGCTTTTTGTTTGTGGTTTTGTATTAGCAACAAATGCAAAGAGCATTGTTGCTGATGCTCACGGAGGTGTTATTGCTAAGATGCTGTCTATTGTGGGTGGTGTATTGCTGCTATGATTATTTGTTTTCTGAAATTGTTTTTTAAATGCCCAAGTGATGTATGTACACAGCTTTCTGTTTATCACTTGTGCTGTACCACTGAGGAAGGGTGACCATATGTTCAGGTTCAAGTGCCTGTGCTTTTTGACTTTCCTCTGCCACCATTTTCTTCTGTTACAAGGGAGGATGTTGTAACTAAGCTGTGTTGTTATCTCATCCCATTCTCTTGGTTCTTTGCTGCTTATAGCTGATAGCTACAGTGGCTTCAATCCTTGTGTCTTTTTAATAGTGCTTATTTTAGGAGGAGCAAAGGAACGTTTGAGTTCTGCAGTTTGTTCCTTTCAAAGGTTTTGACTGTGATTGTGTCTGTTTTCACTCCCTCAGAAAAAAGCAGGTTAGTGCCCATGGCAAGAAGCCGAATTTCTTTAAGAGCACAAAATTACAAAGAGATTCCCAGTGGGAGTGTGTTGAGATGTCCACAATGCTGTTGTTGTCTTAGGTTTTCCCCTCAACCCCTCTCTCCACTGCCACTAAACATATGCATGTATTCACAGGGAATGGCAACAATTGCAGTTTCCAATTGCACGATTTCATGTGTTTAATTTTCTCCTTCCTCCCTAGACGGAAACTGTAACTCTTCCCATAGATTCCCTCTAGCTTCCTTTCGCTTTCGTGAGCTGTTTGCTTGCTGTTACTTCCCAAACCCCTTGACACTGGTCTCTGTGGTGGTAATGGGTGGAGCTGGAGCTCTGCGTATGATGCTGACAGGCGCAAATGGGAACTGCTGCACCCTGGGAGCCTCAGCCACAATGTCCCCATCTCCCTCATTGGGAGAGCGTGTGGCCATTGCCTGAGCTACCTGCTGCTCCTCTGCCTGCACCCACTCCTCCTGGCAATCAGATTCTCCATGAAAAACATAGCACTTGTATCTCAGTGGGTCCTTTTCACAGGCAGTATAAGTTATGATAGTTTAATTAAAAAAAATGGGTGGGGGAAGAAAAAGGTCAGTGCTTATAGAAGGGGCTGTTGGCTAGAGGGACCTTCATACCTGTTTTGACAGACTATAAGTAGTTTTTCCTGCATAATACTTTGTCTTCTGTTTGTTTTTATTTGGTGTGGCCTACTGTGGCTATCAAAATCTTTGTGAAAAAGAAACTGCTTGGAGCAGCAGCCTGTGGCATGCTTTCTGTAGACTGACAATGGTGATGGGGGTTTTGTGTTGTCCTCTCACTGTACAATTTTCTCTCTTTCTCCTCCAGATTAGCAAGACATCTTCAAAAAGAAGCACAGTCTCAGCACAACAACTCAGAATTCACAGAAGATCAAAAGGTAAGCGTTGTTGTTGGTGTAGTCAAGGAACTTGTCTCACAGATGTTGTTTTTGTGTCTGGCAGACCTGAGCTTTATGATACCTGTTTTCCATTCTTAATATGCAATAACAGAAGCAGAGCCCAGTGTGGCTGAAACTGCTGCTGTCATTAGATGTGACAGATGCTCTGCTGTGTAATATTGAATATCTAATGTCTCACGTGCTAGTCAGAGTTCTCTCATAATCTGGGTGTTTGGTTTTTTTTTTTTCTGGGTGACCTTTTGATAACTTGCTTATACAACATTAACAGGATTTATTTTGTGAGGACTGAATACAAAATGTCTTGAGCTGTAGATGTCGAGGGTGTGTGTGGAGAATCTTAGCCTAGTGTGTAATGCCTGACTGGGAAGGATCCTAGCTGCATATTCCTTACTAGTCTCAATGTTATTTATTTATAATCTTTCAAAATATTGAGCTGTCTTTACTCTTTCCTCCCTTCTCTCAGCTGAAAAGGCTGTTTTTTGTCTGAGTATCATATAGTTGTCATTCTATGACAGGTTTTAGGAGGAATGTGCTAGTTGAGGTCCAACACACGCAAGTATCTTTAGCAGAACACAAGGAAATCTGGGATATAAGGTCTTGCCAATCTGTAGTACCTTGTATAAAGCTACATTTTTCATAGGAATACTATATTAGAGAAAATCTGTATTTCCAGACTTGTAAATCGTGAGATCCCTTGTTTGAGCAGCAGCATTGCCTGAGCAGGGACATTTCCTAGCCTAGAATCCTATGTATGCTAAAAGGGTGCTAGAGTAACGGGGTCTGTGTTTGTTAATGTCAGTCCTGAAAACAAGCTCTGGCTACAGAAATTGGAGATGAACTCAATCATTTATTACTAAGAAATACACCTCTACGTGCAGTCTGACAGTGGTCTGTAAATGTTTTCTTGACATATACCATCAAAAAGAGCCAAGAACTGGCCTTCTCTTTTCTATTGCCCTTCTGTGAAGAGGAGGGTAAGGCTCGTAATAGTCTTAAACCGAGTCAGAATCTTGGAGAAGGGTTGGGGCCATCTTTCCTGAACTGGAGGATCCTTGTTAACATTTGGGCAGATGTTTACTCATTCATTGATTCTGCTCTCTGTCTCTTTCTAATATCTTTCTCCATATTCCTCAGTTATTATCATCTTTACTGCATGTTTCTCCTCTGTGGAGACTTCTGGAAAATATGGTTATTTCAGCAAAGAGAAGCTGTTAGTGCCACTTTGGAGGCACCATCTCCTGAGAGCGTAAGAACCATAATGAGGCAGGGCTTTGCTTACAGATGTTCCCCAAGTTTTGGGGAAAGTAATCCTGTCCTGATGGGAGAAGTAAGCGAGGTCAGACATGAGGAAAGGCCTGA